TGTTACCCATGCATGCATGCATGTGTGCACATGTGTGTGTACATGTGTCAAGGGAGTAGTATTTTTTTCTCTCCATATGATGCACATATGATGATGGATGTTATCTGAGTTTTGCTCTCTATTATGTTTTCTGCACGGTGACTGTGGATGTCCTGCAGGGGGAGTGGACCGTGTCCTTTCCCCAAAGCTTCTAGCACCCCCACACTGAGGTCGGCCACACTCTGGAAATTATAATATGTAGGGGACATAGCCACTAGCACCAACAGAGGGGGAGGCTGCTCCTGGGGCTCCCTTGGGTGTCATGTTTGGTCTCACCAGGCCCCAGCCGAGTGGCAGAGCTGCAGCAGGGTGGGGGCTAGGACTTTGTAGGTGGGCCCCCTCCTGGCTGTCTGCCTTGGGCTGTCCTCCTTTTTCTCCTGGGCATCTGAGAAACACTGGTCTCTCTGAGAAATAAACCAAAGCCAGAAACAATGGAGTTTGTACCCACCCAGACACACCTTCTGTTCCCCGAAGAATGTGACAATAACCAAGGTGAAGTTCTAGAGGGAGCTGGACTTGGTCATGGTGGCTCAGACAATGGGTGGTTGGCTCTCAGGGGGCCGTGTTTGGTGTATTCATTGAGTTTAGGATCCTTCCCCCTTCCTTCCTTTCCTTGCTCCTCTCAGCCTCCCTCCTGTCTTTTCGAGAACGTAAGTGTTTTGGAGCCTGTTACTGTACTATTCCTGCTCTATCTCTTGGCTATTATGATTTCCCCATTCTCAAGTCTCTTGCAGATCCACAAACACAACAAAATAAGAAAACCTCAGAAACCTTAAGAGACAAGAGACTTCTTAGCTGGATATGGTTTTGTATGCCTGCCATCCCAGCAACTCCAAGACTGAGGCAGGAGGATCACAAGTTCCAGGCCAGACTCAGCAACGTTTAAAAAAAATAAAAATAAAAAGGCTGGGGATATAGCTCAGTGGTAAAGTGCCTCTGGGTTCAAGCCCCATACAAAAAAAAAATGAGTGACTTCTTATAGTTCAATTTTATTTTAACTGAAAAACTGTCAAATTCAATTCGTTCAGCATATTGGAAATTATTTGGAAAATTATCCTTTAGAATAGAGTGAACTGAATAATTTATTGCTCAAGCCAAATTTTACACACAGAATATATATGTATAAAAAGTGTCATAGATCTTGGTGGATTAATGAGGGAATAGCAGGAAACAGCTTTATTTAAGGTTTCACAATTTCTAAGCTTTAGCCTGAGAAGCAGCGTGGGTGTGCACAGCGCCCCCTAGGGATCACGAAAGTAATGGTATCTGCTCTAGAGCCTGTTAGAGTTCTGTGGTTACAGCCCCCAGGTTCAGCCCTCTCCAGGGATCAGAGTGCTGAGGCGTCCATCTTGATCATGCCTACGGTTGGTCAAGGAAGATTTCCAGATTTTTTTTTTTTTAAATTTAAACGTCTAAGCCATCACAAACCTTCATAATTCCACAAGGTGTAGGAAATACTATCAGATTTTGTACCAGCTAGTAGGAAATCCACTCTGACTCCCTTTAAAATCCGTTTAAGGTTCTCCTGGATCTAACTCGTCCTGAACAGTCCTAGAGGCAGATAGAAAAGAAATCTTCGACATCTGGGGCTGAAGATTCTCGGTGCGCAGCTGAACCCATCCCGGCCTCTGCTGTTCCATCTACGCAATGGGTGGGAATCCCAGCTCTCTCACCAGCCGCCTGACTTCGTCCCTACACGGGGAATAATTAGTATAGTGCATATATCACGGTTGTCGTGGAGACTGAACTAGGTCGTGCCGTGCTCCGTGGCCAGGGGCCTGGCCCAGTGCGAATGCTGGGGAGGGCAGCTCATTAGGAGCCCTCAAGCCAGTACCTCCCTGGAGTTGCAGTGCGCGCCCGAGCCAGCCTGGACCAAAGCCGTGCGCTTGGAGGGAGAGTGTCCTCTGTGGGCTGCCTCTGCACAGGACTCTCCAACATTGGAAACGCCTCAGGCCACCAAGCGGAGCAGGATGTAGTGTGGTATTTAGTAATATATGTCGTCTCCCCCCGGAAGACAGAGGTCCCCAAACACCTCCCTTGGGCAGGTGACGGCCACTCCACAGCACCAACGGAGACCGAGGCGCAGAGACCATCCCTGGCCTTTGGAGCGCCCTTTTCTGTCTGCTATCTTCACCAAGTCTTGCATTGCCAGGGCGCAAGGCACGGCCTTCTCAGGGAGAGGGCTTTTACGTCATTTTAGATATTTTTCTTAAAAAAAAAAACACCATAAACTCCGTTTATGTATTAAGACAAATACTTTCATTCCTCTTTTGGGTAGGGGGCAGGACTCGGTGCACTTCGGCCTCCTGCATCCCTCCACTTTCGGTGTCCTCAGAGCCACACTTTCCCACCTCCGGAGTTTTGAACACCGCGGGAGGATGGGAGTGGGGTGGGCGAAGCTGCTGGGCGGGACCCAGTTGCCCGCAAATGACCCAGGGCTGACCCCACCCACTTCCCTCCCCTCCTCCGCGCTGGTACTCAAGACACTGGCTCAAGGGCGCCCCCTCCCGGCTTCGGTGGGGATCGGCTCCTCTGGGAGAGGAAGCGGGGCCGCACAGTCCAGGTCAGAGGGCCGCCCATCAAGGTCCTGCTGGAGGGACTCCAGCCAAGGGCCCTCTGGGGACACATTCCATACACTCCTGGTTCTAGGATCTCCCAGCACCCCAGGTTTCGTTTCCACGCGCTCTTTTACCGCGGGCTCCTCCACGGGCTTTCCCCTCCCCCGCCCCTTGGAAGGCGCAAACATTCCCAGTTTTAATTCGGGCCAATTATCTCGTTTATACGACTTAAAATGTTTCCTTTTAACTCATTTCAATCTAGTAAATATGCTTCAGCAAGTAGCTAATTTCTCAGGGATGGCTTCGTCTCTCCATTTGCATATAAAGCGCATTGGGGTTGGCCTCATTTCGGGGTTCATGGGTCGCAGACAGCAGGGCCTCCTCTTCCAGGTAGGGCGCCTAGGTTTGGCCGCGGACAGACATAGGCCAGGGTCCGCGACCTTGCCCAGACCCCGACAGCAGGGGGCAGGGCAACCCCAAGCGCCGCTCCCGCCCTGGCCGGCACTTATGCGGAGAGGGTGCGCCCTTGGGTGCCCATTGAGGCGTGGGTCGGGGATGCATTTATCCTGAAGCATGTTTATTAAATGGTGCCTGGAGATGGATGGACGTGGATACAGGGGAAGAAATCACGGGGCTCAGTCGAGCAATCTTCTGGCTTTAAATTCCGAATAAAAGTCTCAAATATTCCCGGGTCAGGGGGGCACTGTCTCATTAAAACCACTCTCGTCCCGAAACTGCCATGCAGACATTAAAGTGCAGTATTTTTCAATTAGAGCTGACGAATTCAATCAAAATTCCATAGATTAGGATGAAATGAGGCATGGGTCATTTACAGGGGAATTTAATTGCCGAGCCATTAGACAAATAGTATATTTGCCATTCCCGCGTTATCCATCATTTCGACATCAATACCGGGCCGCGTCTCCCGTCCCGCGGCTGCCCGGCGTCGCCGTAAACACTCCCTTCCCTGTATCTTCTGATTGTATCTGATTTCATTTAGGGCCATGGGGGATTATAAATGTTCACGCAATCAAGTTCATTAGGACTTCAAATCGCATTTCTGATTGGGATCGCTCTGCAGCCGTCCTCGGAGCGCCTTTCAAACCCCAGCGCGAGGCTTGCGAAA